CACATAACCGAAAGGGCTTAATATAACTCCGGTTTAAATTTGGCCGTCTTAATGATGATACAAGCTAGTTCCGTCATTACATTTCTCGAAGTAGCTGCGGATCGGGTACGCAAGCTGCTTTATACGGACAGCAACTCAAAATATATTACTTGCAAACTGCACAACTAACTTTAATTGTACATATATTTAGAAATTCTTGGAAACCTGTTGAACTATTACCCAGTTCAACAGATCATTCATTACTTTGAACAGGGAAAAATTAAACAGATTTAGCATTAAACTTTGGTCAAAACTTGTTTTTTCGCCAAAGTCATCTTAAAAGATTTTGATGATTTTCTCTTTAAAGAACTGCTATTTACATACCTTTTGTCCTTTATACAGGTATGGGAACCCGCAACATTAAGGGATGCGCCAACTAAGCAATAGAGGACTTTTCCGTGTTTACATAACTTCATCTAAACACAAGAGGAGCTGGAAGAACTCGAGACAGTTATGCATAATTTGTGTGTACCCCTATTGATGATAACAATTAACCAGTGAGCGAGCTAGAAATTTGACGACTATTGTACAAATATTAATATTCCATGAACTACTTAAAAACAGTATATTGAATAGCACTTTAGCTTTTCAGTTTTGCTTTCTTGTTTTTTGCTTGATTTGATCAGGTTTTACCCGTAAAAGGAGATTTTGGTTTGAGTTTCATCTCGCTTCCTTTGAGGTTCCAGTTCCAATAATAATAAGGCGTGTCTCCATAATTGCCATTCAGATGAGAACCTGAGACACAACTTTTATACCACCAAGCTCCTCTTTGGTTTACAGCACAGTTATAACTTTTATGCTTGTCATTATCCCGATCCTTGGTAGTGAAAGCCATGCCATTATAATAAACACGTTTATCGTTAGCGTTCCCAGAATAGAAATTAACAAACAGCGTGTAGTTAGTTGCCTCGTTAGTAACTGTAAAATTACTGTATTTGGCATATTTATTCTCATTAGATGTTGTGTTGATTTCCACTCGCAGCTGGCTCGGAATCTCAGTCAGTTGATGAATCTTTTC